TGTTACCACAATGTAGCACAAATTGATTATCACAAATTGATTATCACAATGTCCAGTCAAATATTATTACAAAGGCTAAATGTTATCACAATGTATCACACCATTTTCCAACAGATTATGATCAACATTAAATGTACCACAATGTAGCACAAACTGATATTACTCTAGGGCTTAAGGCAATCGTCTCCGTCTCAAATACAGGAAAATATCTTCACTATATTTGGATTCCAATTGAACAAGAATATTAACGTACAAAATGACCATCTTGCCCTTGTTCATATAATGTCATTAAATGACAGTAATTTATTTATAGAAATACATTAATTAAGATTCTTTTTAATTTTACCCATTGATTATTATAATATGTGGTTGAGATTGATTCTCACAGTTACCACAAACAATTCAGTTCTCATTTGATTATATATATATATATATATAATAATCAGTTTTAAATTTTTTCATTTAACATATTATATTATTTAATTTTTGTTTGAATTATATTATGCAATATTTATAATTGACTATTTTTCAAGATTCCTTTTTTTTTAGTCATTCTACATGTTTATAACTTTGTTTTTGTCAAACATAATTTATTCATAAGATATTTTATCTATCAGTTAACTTATCAGCTAGCAACTAACTTATAAATTATCAACTTACTTATCAGTGATCAACTAACTTAGCTAACAAATACCACCTCAAAATCATGCTATATAAATATAATTACAATCTTTAAATCCTTTGGGCTTTGTAAAACGGAAGTACAGCTCAGACCCCCATACATCATACTGATCATAGAAACAAGCGGTTTTATCTCCATGCATCCGACCTGAATCAGTTGACCTGTGTTTATAAATACACACCCTTTACCTGATTAGTCTCTATTCGGATCATTTTCTCTCTTTTTCTTAAACTCGAAAGAAACCCTAGTTCTCTCCCCCACCTTCGACTGCTGACGCCGAACTCCGGCGAACTTCCGACCAACCCACGGCGGGTGAATACTCCCTTATCTCACTCGAACACCTAGAAATTATCTCGAGGATCTTAAACACAAATCGGAAATTCCAAGTGTCTAATGAATAGTCCATATGTTAGGATTTTAGATCGAAATTTCATGGATTCACCTTCAACAGGTATTTTTGTTTCAATATCAAATGATTCAATGGCAATGGTTTGGGACGATGAAGATGATTCTTATTCGTATTCATGTAACTGACTTTGTTTGTATATGGTCTCGAACAACAAGACTTGATTAAACTACAATGTTATCGAAATATGCTTATGTTCCTATTTTTCATTGAACGTTAAGTTCGAGATATGTTCTTAATATTCATCTGTTTCCTTTTAGCATACTATAATATACAACGAGTGATTAGGGTTTGAAACGGCTAAAAATATGCACCCTATTTATTACTCTCTTTGTCCTCGAATAAGTATCAAAAAAAGGAACACGATTTTAGAAATACGTATTCATTAAGCTATTTAATTAAAGGATCATTTTACTTTTTGAGGTTTAAGAAAAATGAAGTTATGAGGTTTGGAATTCAAGCTTTGGATCTAAAGCTACCATTTGATGAACTTGAGGTTCTTCAAGATAATTTAAGAGTTGATAAAAGAGACAAATAGGGATTGATAATGTTGAAGCTATACGGATCAAGGTGCTATTGCTAAAGCCGTAAAGCGGACCGCCATGCTTCGACGTTAAGGCAAACTTCCCCTTCTCCCCCCATTTTCTTGAGCCAAGATGG